ATCAACTTGACATGTGTATGTAAAATCCAAGGCCTAATTCTATTGTATTTCTCAAAACAGAATAAAGAGAGAAACAGCAAATGCAAATCACATACAAAAATCTTGATAGCAGGAATTCTAGAAGACCATTTAGGGAGCACCTTCACTGTTCGTGGGCCAGCTAACCCCCACCTACAAAATATCCAGGTCAGAAGGCTGCCTAATGATCAAAGCTCACCTTAACTGTTGTGGCAAGGATGCCAATGTTTGTAATTCCCTAAAGACAATAGGACAAAGTTCCTCTCTTACCTTTCTAAGCCTTTAGGAAGAATATGTAAATAACTTTTAATCAGCTCGACTTTTTTCCACCCCTTTTTCTTTTTTTTACAGAATTATTTTATTTTAACTTTATTTACTTACTTATTTTTAATTTGATGAGAGAGGGACAAAGTGAGAGAGATAGAGAGGGGGTGGGGAGTGAGAAACGAAACGCCCAAGTCTGGGACTTGAACCGCTGTAGGCCACGTGGGAGTCCGGAGCCTTTAACCACCATGCCACCTGCTGGCCCCCTTCATCCCTTTATCTCTCAGCTCTAGAAAAACCATGTAGGCCCAAGTTGTACAATACTTTCCACAAGAAATATGGCTCTCATTTACAGAAAATAAAACTGCTGAAATTTGAACAAATGCAGATATCTTAAACTCCAGGAAATAAAAAAAGTGACTCCAACTCAGTTCAAGCTGATCATGTGAGTACTGGTCCTCACCTATATGCTTAGATATGTACCTCTAAAAACTATAGAGATTTTATCTTAGTTATAATGCCATTATTATATCTAACAAAATTATTGATAACTTCTTGCCACCATCTAATAAAAAGTTCCTCACTATTTCAAAAATTACTTTTTAACAGTTGGCTTGTTCGAAGTAGGATTCCAACAAGGCCCATACACTACATTTGGTTGTGAGTCTTCAGTCTTTCTGAACCTAAAGCAATTACTGCTACTCCCTCCTTTATTTTTCTTCATGTCACTAACCTGGTGAAGAAACTAGGTCAACTCTCCTGAAAAATGGCCCACATTCTTAATTTGTCTTCTTGCTTCTATGTAGTATTACCAGAGAGTCTTTTAAATATGAATTCTTCTGGTATGTTTGCATGTTTTTTGATAGCTCTGTGTTTCCCAAACTTGCCTGAGAACCTCCCTCATATCTCATCTGTGTCTCTGCAACAGTCTCCCCATTTGTCTTGTTTACTCTTCTCCTATCCTCCCTTCACCACCATCCCTGACACATTCTCTCTTCTCATTACAGTCAGCAAGGTCTTCTACAATAGAGGCTCTCTTAAATGTCCCCAAAGGGAACCAGCAGATGATGTAACGGTTACATCGCTGGACTCCCATGTAGTCAACAGAATTCAAGTCCTGGACCTGGCGGCTTAAAACTCATGCTGGACACGTGTGCATGTGTCCCCAAAATCCCGAGAGGAGAATGGAGGAGAGGGGATTCCCTCTGTGGCCATCCTCCCTGGGGTGAGAGGTGATTTCTCACTTTCTGTCTCTTTCTCTCTGTCTCTCTGGTGAATGCACGTGCCCTCTAGCAAAAGTCTCTCTAAAAAAAAAGAAAAAGTCCCCAGTGACTACATATGGAATCCAAGCCATAGGTCTCTCTTTGATTTACATGACCCCACTATCTGAGGTATGCCTACCTCTCCAGCCTCGTTACCAACCACATCCTTTGGTTCACACACTTTCTTTTGGCTGCTCAAACACATAGAACTCTTTTCAACTTTAGGTTTTTGTAGCTGTTTGATTCTCCCTGGCTGTTTATCATCATTCCTGTCTCTGTTTAAAAGAAGATTAAAGGGAACCAGCAGATGGCGAAATGGTTATGTCACTGGACTCCCACATAATTGACCAAAGTTGGAGTCCCAGACGCAGCAGCTTAGAACTCACTGAGCATGTTTTCTTGCATGCCCAAAATCATGAGAGGAGAAGGGATTGCAGCGTGGTCATACCCCCGGGGGGATGATTTCTCACTCTCTATATCTCTGTCTCTCTCTGTCTCATTGGTGAGCACATGTACCCTGTAGCAAAAAAGAAAAAAAAAAAAAAAAAAGAACTTTCTAAAACTACTTCTTAAGAGTGACTACCTGGACTACCCAAACCAAACAAGCGACCCCCACCCCACCCGCATTTCTGCATTTCACCCTATTTATTTCCACTACAGTACTTGCCATATCTCTAACTGCTTAGTTACTTATTTGTGTACTAGATCATCTCCCATGAATTTGTTCTCCTGTTTTCCTAGGACTTCTCACTATCTGATGCTTCCTATGTGTTCATGTTTGTTTATTGTCTTTAACTTTCCATCTGAACATAAGCACCCTGAGAGAATGCCTCTTTTCCATCTTAGACCTCCCTGCCTAGAACTGCTGTCTAACACATACTCATTGTTCAATATGTCTTGCAGAATAAATTAATACCAGAGATGAACCAGATTCTTCATAGAAAGCACATGTCTAGACTATAATCTAGGTGGTTTTTACTTTATTTTAAAAAGTGCTACAATGAGGACCAGCAGTTGGCGTAATGGTCATTTTGCTGGACTCCCATGTAGTTGACTGTGGTTTGTCCCGGACCTGGTGTCTTAAACTCATACCAGGCATGTGTGCATGTGTGCCCAAGATCCTGAGAGGAGAATGGAGGAGAAGGGACTGTGGCATGGCCATTCCCCCTGGGGGTGATTTCTCACTTTCTGTCTCTCTGTCTGTCTATGTCTTTCTGGCGAGTGCACACGCCCTATAGCAAAAACCTCTCAAAACAAAAAAAAGTGCTAAAATGTATATGCTAAAACAAGATCTCAAATAATTTCACACTTTATCTTTCTTAAGAATCAAAATTAAGCAATAGTCTTCATATATATCCTTACCATACATTTTAGAAAAAAATGTATTCCCAAGCTTTGTAGCCATTTTACAGCGATATATAGCAAAGAGTCCAGCATTAACAACAAAATGACTAAGTTTCCCATTGCTCCATAGCTAATATGCTCTCATTATTTTATAAGAAGGAAAAAGTGTATGCATTATTGTACATTCACAGAATTGAGTTTTTCACATGCAAGTTGACTTTTTGCAGAACAGTCATTATGCAGTTTATATATGAAGATAGAGGTCATCATTTATCCAGTATTATCCCTGGCAATTATTACTGAGCATTTTCATTTTCAATATGTAAAGGCAGTGTCTTCTCCGGGAATTCAACAAAGGAAAAAATACTCACTAATAGAGCAAATGAACATAATAGACTTTATGAATTAAGCTAATGACTTGTTCCCAAAGCTGCAACACAAAAACCAATGAAATAAAACAGATTGGAAAATTGCCACCGTCATCACTGTTGACTGACAAAAATCACGAGCCCAATTCCACAATCACTTACTTCCATCAGTAACTTGAATCCTTCTCTTTTCTTGATTTCATCTACTAGGTACCTACAATTAAAAGGCATAGTAATTATTTATATTTTGCAATCTAAAAGTGCCATGAACATAACTGGTGCATGATAAAACTACTACTTCTGCTGCAGGGACAAGACACAGAAATAAGAAGATACAGGGGAGGACACAAGTCCAGGCAGAGCCATGGATTTAAACAGATCTTCCTGAACCTACTGAGATCTCCTGGGCTTGAGTGAAAAGATAAATCTTTTTTTTTTTTTAAGAGGTTTTTGCTATAGGGTGCGTGCGCTCGCCAGACAGACAGAGAGAGACAGAGAGACAGAAAGCGAAAAATCACCCCCCGGGGGGATAGCCACGCCGCAATCCCTTCTCCTCTATTCTCCTCTCAGGATTTTGGGCACGCACGCCCACGAGCCCAGAGTGTTTAAGCCTCCAGGTCCAGGACTTGAACCGTGGTCAACTACATGGGAGTCCAGCTACATAGCCTTACGCTAACTGCTGGTCCTAAAAGATACATCTTTTTGATGAGATGATGTCTGTCTCCCAACAGCCTTTCACTCCATATGAAAAGCCAAATAAAGTAGACTACATATACATATCTGAACATGTAGGTTTCACATTCGTATTCTAGAAAGAGATTTAGCATACATACTTAAATTACCTAGCTTGTTTGGAGGAGAGAGTTACTGGTGAGTATTCCTACTCTTACTGTTTTGTTTTGTTTTGTTTTGTTTTTGCCAAAGGGCATGCGTGCTGGCTGGAGGCAGAGAGGGAAAGTGAAAAATCAACTGCCTGGGGCAGGGGGTGGGGGAAAGGTTGCCATGCCACAATCCTTTCTCCTCCCAGGATTTTGAGTACACATGTACAGTGTGAGTTGTAAGCTGCTGGATCCAGGATGTAAACTATGGTCAGAGAGGTGGGAGTACAACACCTTAACCACTCTGCCATCTGCTGGCTCCTTACGCTCACTTTTAATCAAAAAAGATCAGCATCATCTTTTCCAAGGCCAGCTAGTAGGAAGGAGAACTGATAACTGATATCAAGTGAAATGTTAAATGTGCTGTAGCTCTTGATAGAATATCTATGATGTCATATTGAATATCAGGGGGAACAGAATTATCACACCATAGGCAAATGGCACAGAGGCATGATATATGGAATATGACTGAGGAAAGACTAAAATAACACCAAGAATAAAGAGTGATAAAACACTGACTCCTCTTCCCTAGTCTTGGTTTTTGACTCTATAAAAAGAGAAGCTTGAGGGACCAGCAGTTGGCGTAATGGCTATGTCGCTGGACTCCCACGTAGTTGACTGTGGTTTGAGTCCCAGACCTGGTGGCTTAAACTCATGCCGGGCACGTGTGTGTATGTGCCCAAGATCCCAAGAGGAGAATGGAGAAGGGATTGCAGTGTGGCCATCCATAGACTTTATGAATTAAGCTAATGACTTGTTCCCAAAGCTGCAACACAAAAACCAATGAAATAAAACAGATTGGAAAATTGCCACCGTCATCACTGTTGACTGACAAAAATCACGAGCCCAATTCCACAATCACTTACTTCCATCAGTAACTTGAATCCTTCTCTTTTCTTGATTTCATCTACTAGGTACCTACAATTAAAAGGCATAGTAATTATTTATATTTTGCAATCTAAAAGTGCCATGAACATAACTGGTGCATGATAAAACTACTACTTCTGCTGCAGGGACAAGACACAGAAATAAGAAGATACAGGGGAGGACACAAGTCCAGGCAGAGCCATGGATTTAAACAGATCTTCCTGAACCTACTGAGATCTCCTGGGCTTGAGTGAAAAGATAAATCTTTTTTTTTTTTTAAGAGGTTTTTGCTATAGGGTGCGTGCGCTCGCCAGACAGACAGAGAGAGACAGAGAGACAGAAAGCGAAAAATCACCCCCCGGGGGGATAGCCACGCCGCAATCCCTTCTCCTCTATTCTCCTCTCAGGATTTTGGGCACGCACGCCCACGAGCCCAGAGTGTTTAAGCCTCCAGGTCCAGGACTTGAACCGTGGTCAACTACATGGGAGTCCAGCTACATAGCCTTACGCTAACTGCTGGTCCTAAAAGATACATCTTTTTGATGAGATGATGTCTGTCTCCCAACAGCCTTTCACTCCATATGAAAAGCCAAATAAAGTAGACTACATATACATATCTGAACATGTAGGTTTCACATTCGTATTCTAGAAAGAGATTTAGCATACATACTTAAATTACCTAGCTTGTTTGGAGGAGAGAGTTACTGGTGAGTATTCCTACTCTTACTGTTTTGTTTTGTTTTGTTTTGTTTTTGCCAAAGGGCATGCGTGCTGGCTGGAGGCAGAGAGGGAAAGTGAAAAATCAACTGCCTGGGGCAGGGGGTGGGGGAAAGGTTGCCATGCCACAATCCTTTCTCCTCCCAGGATTTTGAGTACACATGTACAGTGTGAGTTGTAAGCTGCTGGATCCAGGATGTAAACTATGGTCAGAGAGGTGGGAGTACAACACCTTAACCACTCTGCCATCTGCTGGCTCCTTACGCTCACTTTTAATCAAAAAAGATCAGCATCATCTTTTCCAAGGCCAGCTAGTAGGAAGGAGAACTGATAACTGATATCAAGTGAAATGTTAAATGTGCTGTAGCTCTTGATAGAATATCTATGATGTCATATTGAATATCAGGGGGAACAGAATTATCACACCATAGGCAAATGGCACAGAGGCATGATATATGGAATATGACTGAGGAAAGACTAAAATAACACCAAGAATAAAGAGTGATAAAACACTGACTCCTCTTCCCTAGTCTTGGTTTTTGACTCTATAAAAAGAGAAGCTTGAGGGACCAGCAGTTGGCGTAATGGCTATGTCGCTGGACTCCCACGTAGTTGACTGTGGTTTGAGTCCCAGACCTGGTGGCTTAAACTCATGCCGGGCACGTGTGTGTATGTGCCCAAGATCCCAAGAGGAGAATGGAGAAGGGATTGCAGTGTGGCCATCCCCCCCGGGAGGTGATGTGATTTCTCGCTTTCTGTCTCTCTGTCTTTCTGGCAAGCATATGCACCCTACAGCAAAAACCTCTCCAAAAGAAAAAGAAAAAAGAGAGAGAGAGAGAGAGAGAGAAGCTTGAAATGGTTAGCTATGGAAACCAGCGATTTAATCATAAACCTTAATATGCTTTACCTAGTATTTCAAATTCAGGGGCCAAATGTAAGAACATGATTGGAGTTACTGAGAGGAATGTGTTTGCCAGAGCATGTATTGTAAATTTATAACAGCAAAGAAAACAAAGAGAAAAGAAAACACCACACCCAACAGTATAGGCTGACTTTCAAAATTATGATCTACAATAGAATTATAGTATCAAAATCATAGCACTAAATTATATATATTTAATTGATATTTAAGGAAACACACACACACACTCCTTTTGGGCTTTAATTCCCTTCTCTGTAATACTGGATTAACACAATATGCTTTTCCAATCTAAAAAAAATCATCATTAAAAAAAAAAGAAAGTAAATAAAATCATACCTAAAATATCGAAAACCATCAAAAATATAGAGAGTTATAACCATTACATCATTTTCTAAAGGCCATTCTAGAACCTGGATACGGAATATACTAGCTGACTGGACATAGTTTTTTCCAAACTTACTCATGTAGCTTTTCATATAAGGTTAAATATTGATGATTGCATATAGATTATCTAATCTTTCAAATATTTAAAATCTTACAAAAATTTCATAGTATTAATGAGTCATAGGAATCTTTTATTCTGAGCAAGTGTGTGTCCACACACATATACTCTCTCCCTCCCTCTCTCTTTCTCTCTCTCTCTCAAATTGTCTGCATTCTACATACTCCTACTCCTCAAATATTTTTCAGGAGATATTATATAGCTATGAAGTTTTTGAACCTTTTTTTTTTTTTGGTGGGGGAGAGGTTTTTGCTCTAGGGCGCATGCGCTCACCAGAGAGACAGAGAGACAGAAAGTGAGAAGTTACCCCCCAGGGGGGATGGCCACGCCGCAGTCCCTTCTCCTCCATTCTCCTCTCAGGATCTTGGGCATGCACACACATATGCCCAGCATGAGTTTAAGCCACCAGGTCCGGGACTCAAATTGCAGTCGACTACATGGGTGTCCAGTGACATAGCCATTACACCAACTGCTGGTCCCAGTTTTTGAGCCTTTAACATGCTCCCTACTTTTCAAAAAAAAAAGGCAAGTAATTCTTATGGTCAAGAAGAACCAGAAAAGATGCTCAGGATCGCTGGTAATCCAGGAAATACAAACTAATACAATAATACTAAATTATGTTCTTCACGAGATACTAGAAACAAGTTTTAAAGAGCAGTAACACCTAGTCCTAGTAAGAATGTGGTAAAAGTTGCTATAATAAACCTTTTTAAATGAATGATCTTCATATCTTTTGATCAAGAAAACCACTTGTGAAATGCTAGCCTACCAGAGGTTGGGGGGAAAATCAATGCTAGGATAGACAGATAGATATACTAGACAGATATATAAAGATATATATATATATATATTTAGTATCTAAAGCTGCATGTGTGGAGGCATGTGTATATCCTATACAAAATAACTAGAAACAACTTTAATATCCAGAATTTGGTGAATGGTAAATTAAAATGCACGATAGCAACACAATGCAATATAATGCAGCGATTAAAACGAATGGATTATATCCACTTCAATTAAACCACAGGGATGCTCATTATGTATTAGTAAGAGATAAAAGTGAGAAATTGAACTATGTGGATAATTTGATTATTCCATTTTTTTTCTAGAGAGAGATTTTTGCTATAGGGCGCATGTACTTGCTAGAAAAACAGAGAGAGACAAGAGAGAGACAGGAAGTAAGAATTCACCCCCCAACCCCAGGAAGGATGGCCACGCTGATATTCCTTCTCCTCCATTCTCTTCACGGAATCTTGGGCATGCACGCACACGTGCCTGGCGTGAATTTTAAGCTGCCAGGTCTGGGACTCAAACTGTGGTCAACTACATGGGAATCCGGCAACGTTACCATTACACCATCTTCTGGTCCCAATTGATTCCATTTTCTTAAAAAGAATTTAAAGGAAAGCAAAAGTGATCTCTATCCATATGCTGATATGAGCATGGAATAACATACATGAAGACACATTATAAATTGTTAGTATGTATTTACCTGAGGGAAGGACAAAGACAATGGATGATGCAATGGGGGTTAGGGACTATTAACTCTCTTTTTATATCTCTTCACAAAGTTTCATTGGTGTAGTGAATCATGTAATTTTTTAAAATGAACATGGGGGGGGATGCAAAGCACAAAACAAATAGACATATTCTCTGTCTACCTAGATGAAGAAAGCTTTGTGACTCCCCTTTTTCTTTCTTACCTTTCAGGCACAAATGTATAGGCAATCTATTAACTCAACAGCCTACATTGGGGTTTCATCCTGAAGGAGCCTGCCCTAATCCTTAACACCCTGAGGCTATTTAAAAAAAGAAGAAGTAGAAGAAGAAGAAAGCTTTGCCTCTTGGTAACTCTTGGGAATGACTCCAGATTATATATTTTTTTGAAAGGTTTTTGCTATAGCTAGAAAGACAGAGACAAAGAGACAGAAAGCAAGAAATCACGCCCCCCCTCCCCCAGGGGGGATGGCCATGCCACAATCCTTTCTCCTCCATTCTCTTCTCAGGATCTTGGGCACGCGCACACACACACACACACACACACACACACACACACACACATACACCCGGCGTGAATTTAAGCCACCAGGTCTGGGACTTGAACCGTGGTCAACTACATGGGAGTCCAGCGACATAGCCATTATGCCAACTGCTGGTTCCGACTCCAGATTACACTTGAATAGTGTAGCTAGTCAGTTTTATGACTCTAGGCCAATTGCTAAGGTCTCTGAGTCTGCTGGAGTTTCCTCATGCGTGTAATGGAGATGTGAACCAAGCCAATAAAATCCTCCCCATGCATGTTATGATCATATGAAACTTACATATGCTACCTATAGTCTGAATTTAAACTGCTTCTGTCAAACTGGCTAAAGCTGATCCTGGGGAAATAGTATCCTAAAACAGAACTAAATTACTTCAGTTAAAACTCTGTTTCTCTTGGACTAGAAGATGGCATAATGGCTATGTTGCTGAACTCCGATGTAGTTGACCTCCTTTGGAGTCCCATACCCAGTGGCTTAAAACTCACACTAGGCATGCATGTGTGTATGCCCAAAATCCCAAGAGGAGAATGGATGAGAAGGGATTGTGGAATGGCCATTCCTCTTGGGGAGTGATTTCTTAATTTTCTCTGTCCCCCCCAAAAAGTGCACTCCCCTTGGGAAAAAAAAAAAAAAAAAAAAAAATCTCTCTTAACAACAACAAAAAAAAGAAGAAAGAGAAAACTGTATTCTTTTTTGTTTTACCGTTAAATTTTAATATGTTTAATACATTTAACCACTGTATATCATTATGGCATCCAAAATTAATTTTCCCAGAACGAATATGCTGCATATCAGTCCAACTAAAGATATTATCATACACATTATCATCAACAGATAATTTTCCATTCTTGTATCCCTTAAATGTTTT